AAGAGCGGAGAGCGAGTATATGTTCATGTCAGGGTGATAATCTCCATCCAAATCTTCCTGCTGCTGACTTTGAGATGAGGAGGCAGGGGGAAAGAACGAAGTAAGGACGGAATGGCCTACGGTGTAAACACTTTGGCAAATGGCAGTGAGCCCAGGGCAGATGAGGAAGCACAAATCTTCCCTTTGACGGAAGTGCTTCTTCCCGGCACCCTCCACTTCTCAGGCCTTGGCCCACAGGCTTTGGGAAAGGCAGACGACTGCATAATGATCTGCACAACAGGGGGTTCTCATGCTTTTCTATCTTTGTGGTTTCCTCCCTTATTTCTAGTATGTCATCACTATCGTTGTCAACTAATAGCTTTCATGACCTTGATGAAAGCTTCTTTGTTGCTCTTTCTGTGAGTTGCAGAGATACTGGGGTGTGGATGATGATTTGTGGTGCAGGCACTTGATGTCCATATTCCCGGAGAGTCTAGTTTCCACATATTCTGCTAGGACCTAGAGATATTAAGAAAGAAATAGCTATTCACTTGCTTTAAGGGATTTTGGCCTTAAAATCATTCAGTCCTAGAGAGAGGCGGGATAAAATACATTGTTTCTGGTGCCAGCCATTCTCTTGAGCAAACCTAACTCTCATTAGGGGAAAAAAAAATCTTCTGAGACTTTTAGGGTCATTATGTTGCTTTAGAAATATGTTCTCCTGAAGTGTGACCCCTGCCTAGGGGCATTTATTCTCCACACTGCTGCCTTCTCAGTACAGAAATGATGTGCGGAAGAAGTTCTTGAAGGCAGAGCTGTTAGATAGATAGCTGTGTTACAACAGTCTCCTTAAATCCCCTGAGCTGAGAAAGGAGACTGAGAGAGTATTGGGACAGTGGTCTGCAGGTTTGCTCTGTGCTTACTGTTTCCCAGGCGGAAACAGAATACTGGGCTAGTTGAACCCTTAATTTGTATCATTATGGCCATTCGTCTGTTTTTCCTAGCTGAATACTCTAAAAAGAGCAGGACATCAGGGGTCCGAGGACTGGAAGATAAAGACAGTAGAATTCCTACTCAGTAAAATAGAAAAGTAATTTCTTTTGCATTTGAAACAGTCTGCTGATAAAAGAGATGTAGCCAATGTATCTGAGATCAGAGATAGGGAGGGGGAGAACTACTTCCATATATACAGTATTGGGTTGAAAAGACAGCAGAGCAGACAGGATATAAAGGCTGACTTAAAGAAGAGATTATATTTGATATACCAGAGCTAATTTCAGGAGACTCAACTTGATCCTACAGTGAGAAGTTTTTACAGGAGGCTTAAAATATGAGTCTTCAATATATAACACTAGAGAAGGAGAAATACAATTTTTTTCTCTCTGGATACCTTTTTACCTCTTTGCAAATCGTTCAGATTAATTTTACTAGAATGTTCCAAGGGTATTACATTACAGCATTTACCTTACAGGTTATTCTTATAGCGATATTCACCATTTTCCAGTGATTTTCCATATTCTACAGAGTTACCATGTTATGTGCCCATGCACACAGGAAATACACCATTGCTAGTAATTATTCTATTTGCTTATGTTGCAGATAGACTTGTAGTAGATCTTAATATTTTAACTTCACTAATGAATTATGTAATAGGTTTTCTGGTATTTTTTTAGTTGGCTTCCATAAAAAAATACGGTGTTGAACATTAAAGAACTTTAAAGTTGTACAGGCAGCCATGCAGCATTTAGGAGTTGTTTTCCCGCTTGTGTATATTACGATGCAGTCTTAAATTACATGATCACATGGTTTTCCCACAAGATCTGTACTACTGGAGGTTGACACAGCACTGTGTGAGGAAGAATGGTTTTGCTTGTAAAGTACCTCCACTGTGAGTTAAAAGTGAAAAGTAGAGAATGAAATAGGATATTGCAAGAAAAATGTTGCTGAATCTTATTTTAGAGAACTGAATTCTTCCCCTTCTTTTATCTCAGGCTGCCCATCTGATGCTAATCAATTAACAGAAAATATGCAAAAAATCAGATCCTACATAAATTAGATTTTTTCCTTAGTCTATTTTCCTTCAGTTTCTCATCTGCAAAAAAAGCATAATGTCTTTCACAACCAATTTGATTGTATAAAGGTAAATCAATCAATGTTTATGGAGAATTCAAATAATACTGTAAGGAGAACCACAAAAAGTTTACATGAAGACTTATAATTTGTCTTCAGATCAAAATATGAATAGTATGAACTAGTGAAGGACTAAGGTCACACACTGGAAGTTAAGGATAAAATACAGATATGGTATCAAGGCTATTGAGTCAATTTTTATACCCTCCATAAAAAATGAAAATGTAGCCTGTAAAAAAAAATTATACATACTGGAGAGTTGATCTAAAGTTCTTTGAAATCTTCAATTTTGCAAGCTAATAACATTCTTTAGTAGAGCTTTTTTTCTGCTTGTGTCCATAACATAATAGAAAATATTCTTCACCTAAACTCATTGCAAATAGACATACTGTAAAGAACTGAATAAATTTTGAATCTGAAAAAGGAAATATGGGATCTTGGTATTCTGGAAATGGTATTGGTATTTTTTCAAGACACTTTCATTTTACATTTACTGACTTTTCTATCAGATATGGAAAAGATGAAGAAAAACAGACACAAACTGTTTTTAAGCACTGTTCTGAGTATTCATTTAGCCTGTATTACCAAAACATTTCTTCACAAAAGATAATCACACTAAGTCTGTAACTGCCCAAAACAAGCTTATAGTCTTCAGACTGACTCCATGAAGATCCATATAACAGCTACAATCTTGCCCCTTTTTATCTAAAAATAAATCTGGAATGGCAATTATATCTAAGAAGATTAAAACCAGCGAACACAACCTTTCAACAGGTGTGAATACTAGTTATATGAAAATGGATGTGTATATTACACAAATAGTTTATTTTAATCTTTGATTATGTCACAGACACTGAAGTTGGAAGAATCTCTCAAGAAAGCAACGCAACAATTACATCAGATGCAATGGTAAGAGGTTTAATACAGCAGAAGTAAATGGGGAACATTCTTTGTAATCAAATTACAGCAGGGCTAATTGATAAAATGATAAAAATCATGCTTTGTTTGGTTTTCTCTTTGAGATTGTGTTGTATAAATAAATCAAGTATATCTTTAACTTTATAGAAATAAATGAACGATGATTTTTGCCATCAGGTCCATTTCTTCATCTCAATCAAGCTTGTCAGGAAATAATACTTTTTTAAAAATTCAAGTCAGTAATTACTCTAAAAATGAACTTTTAGCAAGCAGTATTTTTTATGTTGCATTAAACATCTGAATGCATATGCAGTTTTAAAATTTTTATTTGCTTTGACATGAATTTGGGTTGGTATTTTCCAACAGTTTTCCAGCATCAGTTTAGAAGGTTAACAATATCTTTCGCAGTACCTCTACAACTAGTCCACTTGCAAAATCACCAAAGTTTTGTAAAATACTTGTAAACTTCCTTGTTTCTAGTAAAAATAAACTACCCAACTCATCTTAAAATAGTCTTTTTCACAAATGCACTAAGAGGTAGCTCATTATTATCCCCTCATTGACTGATATACCTGAATCTTCTTTTATCCTGTATCATTGGCAATTGCTGAATTTCCAACTTATAGCAGTTTTGTAGCACACCCCAAGTGTGCTTTGTGCTATTACTTTTCGTTACCTTTCATTTTATTCCAATCATTTTCTTTGAAAAGAACACATTGTTTTTATTTTATCATTATCTTGTCCTCCTTTGTATTGATGATACTTTCTCAATCTGTCTGCAGATTTCACAAACTGCTGGCTATGCTTAAGTCATTAATGAATATATTAAATAGGACTGGATGCAAAACTAATCTGAAGGAGACATCAGTAATAACATTTCTGCACTCTCTTAACCCTTTTTTATTGCTGTTTCACCCTTAACATTATTTACGTCATGGTTAACTGAATTAACTCTTCTTATCTCTGCTTTAAAGACTAAGTGACCTATACAGTGTTATAATGCTTAGATTGAATTGATTGATTGATTGATTGATTAACGTAGATTAAATGTACTATCTTACTCCTGTTCAAAAATCTGCTTACCAGAAAATAAAAGAAAACAAAAAAAAGTCAAATCAATCTGATGTGATCACCTATGGTAAACTATTATTCATTCTATTTTCCATTTGTTTCCATATCCTATTTTATTCTCCTTTTTAAGACTTCAAAACCTACTAGAAAAAAACTAACAGCCTTGGCCCATTCTTTTTTTCCCTTTAGTGAGTATTGGTATCAGAGTTCCTGCTGTGTAGTTATAATGTACTGCTCCCCATGGATCCATCTTCTTGAGAGAAGCCCTTCTCCATGAATGCCACTTTATGAATTCCAATAATAGGATCCTGAAACTCCTTGATAAGGCAGTTCACTGAGCCAGCAATTTAATTGCAACATCTTGTTTTGTCATTCTTTTTCTGACTGTTTTAATATACACTTTCTTCTGACTCTGATATGCACATAGTATACTAGATTATGCTCTCTTATGAAGGTGAAGAAAAAGAGTAGAAAGGAAACAAGATCCATGGTGATTATCATAGTTAATATATTTTAATTCTCTGTTTCCTTTTCCTCATCTGCAGCTCACATAAATAGCATCTTGGCTATACCAACTGCAGTGTTCTAACTGAATTTCAGATTTTCACAGAGTTCTATGAAAACAGTTTGACCTAGCGGTTCTCCTCGCATGCTCAGGGAGACATATTGCTCCTGTGTATGGTTATTAGCAAAGGTATCAGTTTTATGTAACTGCTGCAGAGGTATGCAAACATTTTCTTAGAGAACTAGATTTTTAAGGTTTGGGAAATTTACACATCAAAATGAAGATTTCAGAGGCAGTTGAAGTTAATAACTGTATTTTAATATCTGTTCTTCCATAAAGTACTCTGCCATAATGTTATCCTAAATTGGCGTTGTTGTGCATAGAATGACTGATGTATCAAATATACTGCTTTTTTTACTTCCTGATGAACTGTAGCATAGTAGAAAGCTATTGGTGGGTAATAGACTTTGATCTTATGCTCTGTTGACCAGTTATATAAATGAGTTAACCAAACCAATTTTTAACTTATATCCATTGTTCCTTTTGTTCTGCTTCTAGTATGAAACCTCCTCAACAACTTACTCAACTGCCACTTTCCAGTACAAGTAGAAGTCCACTTTCCAGTAAGAAGTGTTAGTTTAAAATATTAACTACGTAATATATATCAGTGGATATCACAATGTTCTAATAGTGCATTTATTACTAACTTTAGTTCCTTCAGAAAAACAGAACGGATATTCTTCATATTCTCTCCATCCTAGTCATGCTTCTACTTCCAAAATGTAGGTACAAAACCATAAATTTCCAATAAAAAACTTACAGTAACAAACTGTTTACAATTTTTTTCACACAAAACCATTTATTTTGTAGAGTGTGTATCCTTTTGGCAGTGAGTTTCAAATGACTATATTTTTTAATTTTTGTGTTTCATTTTGCAAACTATGTATATACAAAAGAACTGGGGGGGGGTTTATATATCCTAGTATTAGCTAGCTGTGTAGATTGCCTTGGTATTCACTGGAAAGAAACTCTAAGGCATGAAACACCTTATTCTAAAGACTTTTCAGATGAACTGATAGTTTGTCTGAAAATAGTGAGCAAACGCGCTCCAGTAGTGACTATTTCTTCCCATTGACTGTAGAGGGAATCTAAATCACTAGTAGACATCCATATTTACACTGTAATTATCTAGTTAGATAGGATCAACCCCAGCTAGGCACTCAATGCTTATTAAATTTTAAATAAATTGAATGTATAGCTTGTTCAAGCTAAAAGATTTCTTTACCTACGGCTGATTCACTTAAAAAAATTGAAGTTCAGCATGCCATTAGTGTGAAGATAAATGACAAATGTATAAATGTGCATGTTTATTCTGACTTAAATAGAAGTATAACAACATTAATCATCAAATAACTTTCTCTATAAGTATCTAAACCAAGATTCTTACTAGAATCTTACTAGAGGTAAGATTTTTCTCATTGCTAGTGGGTTTTGGAACAGGTGCTAAGTACCATTTTAGGTATTACGTATTAAGCATTATTTATTATATATTAGTCAATTAAACATGGGGAATATAATGTAATTATAATCATTATAATGAATGCATCCTTTTTATTACAATGTCATACTTATTTTGAATTTTATTATAAGAATGGAATCAATGGAGATTGATCCTTTACCTTCACCAGTGAGGAAAGTAAGTTCCTTTTTTGTGTATCTGTTTTTGGTTTCTTCTACCCTGTTAATTACTGTAAAAAACAGATTCCCCTCTTTCAACACAATTCTTACATATATGCTGATTTCAGCTATGGTTGATGCTTAGTAGAAGTCAGATACTTCCCAAAAGGAACGAGTAAGAGAGAAATCACAGCATTGACTTCTAGAATTTTATTCTCCCTATGGCATAGACAGGGTTATAAACTTGTGATGCTAAAGTAAATGGCAAATTCTTGAGTTCCAAGTATATTTACATTATAAGAATGTTGTAACTGTTTCCATATTAACTATTGCTATTGCTTGAAACTGAAACTTAGGTTTTAATTTAAAGTCAAACATATTAAGGGATGGAAGTATATATAAGATTCCCGCCTTCATCTGACCTCATGTAGATATCTGCAGTGCAGATCTAAGCTAGTTACGCAGTCATTAGTTTTCACCTTTCATAAAGAATTATATTTGTTGTTTGACCAGGTGATGATGCCTCTGGCTATGTCCAGGGGCATCATGTGAATAACATCCTCACATGCTAAGAAAAAGCTAGATGGTAGCAGTCACCAATCTGAGGGCAGTATTAACACCTGATGTTTTAAGCTCTGAATGACCTCTTTAAGCAGTCACAAATCTGAGGGCAGTATTAACACCTGATGTGTTAAGCTCTGAATGACCTCTTTAAGATGAAAAAGGAGGGAGGAACCCTTCCCTGGTTAGGAGAGGTAACATCCAGGAAAAGAATATTGCTTAAGGATGGAATCTCAGCACAAAAAATGGGGTAAACATCTGATAATTTTTTGTCTGAATGTGATAGAAAGGATATTTTGGAATAAAACTTAAGTACGTGTATTTTCTTTTTTCTTCTGTGTATCTCTGAAAAAACACAGTTTTGCATTGTAGTGCTGTGAACAAATCTGGAGGGGTTAATTTTGAAGGTAGCAATGCAGAATGGTGGTGTAGGGGATCTATGTCTGTCTCCTAAATGCAACCCTTCTGTAGAGTATCTTTGCCTTGCAGGGGGACAGTGGAGAGAGTCCAAAGTCTGCTGGTTTTGTACTCCTCAAACCTGTAACACTGTTGCTTAAAATATCTTACTAATTTGTGTGCTTATTAGATGGTAATTAATACCTTGCTGTTTATTTAGCCTGAGGTAGTGACTGGTCCAACAAGACTATCACTAATAACTCCACCCCAAGGCGGACGTATGGGTAAGTAAAAATAAAATTTATAACTGGATAAAATTTATATTATTTTAAGAGTATTCCAAAATTAAAATCCATGCTTTAGCAATTTACTGAGCAAGCTTGGATTATGTTGAGGTGTAAGGAACTTCTCAGGTAGACATCAGTCCAGCAGATGAGAAATGGTTAAAAATGAAGAATTAAGTAAATCTCCATATTTACCTGCTCTGTACTCTGAATAATTTCTTGTAGTCAAAATGATACTTGCTGAGCAATCATAGTCAGCAGTTGCAAGGAAAGTACTGTAATGATGCATATGCTAGAAGAGAACATAGTTTCTTGTAGCCTATGTTATTGGCTCTCTAATAATCTTCATGGTTATACTGGTTTATAGTTATCAGAGATTAATGCTGTCCATAAAAGTTATGTTAAATATCAGATCAGAAAACGGGAAAACTGAATGGAAGTTACAAAAATGCTTGGTCACAAAAGTATGGTAATTCATCTGAGAGCAAGAATTTGTTCAGGAAAAGGTGATGGTTTTACTGTATCCGTATGTTAAGGTGTGGGACGTTTTATCTGACTTCCTTTCAATCCTGGGCTGTTGCAGAGGTTAGGTAAAGCCGACATGCATGATAGCCAAATGAAACTATTACAATCTTGTATGTTGTTTATTTGTGAAGAGATTCACGAAATTTCCAGTGCTCTACAGACCAATTCGTTGGCCCTTTCCATTCTCATTTTTTCACCCAGTGTGCTCCTATACCAGTCCATTCTCAGGCAACCTTACAGCTGAATTCAGCTGTTTAGAGGATCCATCTCCAGCTAAAAATGGAGCTTTTAGCACTCTTGTGCTTTTACATGGTGTAAAAGTTCTGGAACGGGGATAATTACAATTGCCGTGGACATAGCGTAACGAATTTTTGTCCAGATGTGTTGTGGAGTCTCCATCCTTGGAGTTACTCAAAAGTTGTCTGAACAGGGCCCTAGGCAACCTACTGCAGGTGATCCTGCTGGGGCAAGGGGGTTGGACTAGATGATTTCCAAATGTCCCTTCCAAACTCAACCATTCTATGATTCTATAATAAGAAAAAATTACTTTTTTCTATATTATGGGGGATTTTTTCCTATGTTATGTCTGATTTATACGTTCAGATCTTTTCTAAATGCACTTTCACATACAAATTTATGGATAACAAGATGGCCATTGTCTCAGTAAACATTTTTTCATTTCGTCTGAATATAAATAGATATGTAATTAGATGGTAAAATTACGTAAACAGTTATGTGCTCAGCACATTTCAGAATCAACCTGTAAAGTCTTGCAGTGGACAAAGCTGAATGAGTCAAAACAGTCATACAATAGATTTAATAAGTAAGAGTCAATACAAACAATGATTTATTGGTACACTGAGTAAAGTGTCTTTAAAGGAGATGTATGAAGCAGCAAAAAAACCAGCTGAAGAACTGAAGCACCTCAGCAGCACTATCTTTATAGTCTAATAAATGAGAGAACATGAAAGAAACCAACATATCTGTGTCAAACTCAGAAAAGATTTAGAGGAATGGTACAAGAGGGTGTTTTTTGTGACAGCGGTGCTCTGTGTTGAGACTTGAGTCAATTTTTCACCATTACCTTCTACTGGAGTACTACTGAGGAGTTACGAAAGCTTTCATGCTGCTGGACTTCTAGCAAGAGATACTGGAAAACAAATTCTGCCTCAGCACATGTCTTGTCTGTGCTAAATCTCAAAAAGTATTATTAATTTTTAGGGCTATTTTGATCTTTGCTCAAGTGTTATGAGGATTTTATTTTGTCAGCCAGTCCCTTATCCTTCATTTTCTATTGTTATTCTCCATGGTTTTTCATGCTTGAATAAACTGATGGTGAGTTTGGCCCAGAAAATGTAGTTAAGGTACTTATCCTTGTTTCCAAAGCTATCTCTTCAGTAAAATGGGTAATTCATTTTAATCCTGTATTCAAAAGTATAATTCTTACAGGTAGCGTATCCTACAGAAGTTCTCAGCCGTCTGGAATAACGTCAAGTCAAAATAGTAAAGCAGGATCTACAAGGTAATTGAATACAGCTCGTGCTTTTCAAGATGTTACAGTCTTTTATTGGAGACTGAAATTAACTCTTGCCTGGCCTCAGTGAAGCTGTACATTTAAAGGCCGTATTATGTATCTATCTTTCTAAACAAGAAATGTTATTGTATAAGCTAACTATCCTCTATATTAATGTGTTTTTTATTCCTGGAAGATTACATTTTGAATTTACTTTCTTCAAAATGTGCAGAGGTAATTCGAGTTTCTGTAGTTGTGTACATCTGCAGTCATAGTACTCTTATATAAGGAGTGGTAAATTTTTATTTAGAAAGTAAAACAACATCTCTGCTTTGTGTTTCTTCTAAAAGTCAGAGATTGCAACACAACGTCCCTGACATTTTACAGAGAAACTGCCCAGAGAGCTATTCTCTGAATAATCCGAATATCTTCATGCGGTGTGTAGCAGCTTTCAGGCTTTTCGTCTAAACATTGAATAGACCTCAATTTGTGAGAACTATAAACATGAAGGAAAAACTTAAAATCATAATCATAAAATCGTAATCATAAAGCACAAAATGCCTTCTTATCATACATTTAAAAAAGAAATATTTTGTTATGTATTTTATCTTTGATTCTCATACCCTTTGTCTTCCTTTTGCTGTTTAGAACATGTCTGATGAATAAGGAATCTGTAAAACATAACATTTTATAGTATTTTCTATTAAAATGTTAGCACTGTGAATCTAGAAGGTTTGAAATCTCTTGTAGCATGAAGGTAGCCTCAAATCTTACTCAGAAATTAATTTCATTTGTAGATCCACACCTATAAGACTACCTCATAATGGATGTCCACTCACATCGTCGTGTGGATCACAAAGTAGTAGAATGGGGTCATGGGCCACTTCTGACTTCAGAACACCTCAGCTGTATCCATTTACATCACCTTCCTCGCAATCATCTGGAATAAGACATCCAATCACCATCCCTGGTCTTCTGCAGAGACAACATTTAGGCAAGTATATTTTATAAATTAATAGAATTTGACTCTCTTTACTGAAAAATTTTCAGCATAAAATACGATTGCTACTTAATTACTGGAGCTCAGGGAAAAAAAATTGTGCAGTGTAGAAATGATATTTGAAAACTGGAAGCAAGCTATCAATATAATATTAAAAAGTTTATGGGTTATTAGCACTGTTTAGCCTTAACCATCTATACAATAGAATATCTACTATGAGAATGTGTTCTTGTTTCACTTCCCCACAGTATTTTAACAAAGAATTAAATCTGATAAAGTAAATAGTTCTTTTCTAACAAATTTCTAGCAATTCTGAACAATGCAAAGCATACAATAATTTGACAAAAGCTAATCTTCCAACAACTCTCAAGTAAAGAGTGGAGAGTAGAAGACAATCAGTGGAAGAAGTAGACTCAGTGGGAGTGATATGTCAGAGGAATTCAGCTGGAAGTAAGGAGTAGTGAACACAGATAAGACTGAGATAGTCAATAGGAGTCCTTTAGTAAGGATTCTTGTTAAGGAATTAAGGAATAAGTATGGTTGAGTTAACATATGGGAAAGAAGGAAAGAATAGTCTACAAGGAAAAGGATGAATATGAGACAGTTCCTGCATGAATGAGTAGAGTGTTGTAGAAAGTGGATGACAGCTGACCTCCCACTATATCTAGTGGAGAGAAAGGAACATACATTCAGAATAATGCAGTTTCCTTTTAACAAGTGAAGTATTAGTGACCTGGTTATTAGGCACTTGGGAAAATGAATGGAAATGAACAAATAAGCAAACTCCTCTTGAAGTGAACAAGGAGTAAAGAATGAACAGGTGAGAGAGAAAAAGGAAGGAAGACATTCAGGAATGGAAGAGAAAGGTGAGGATATTAAAAGGGCTGGGAGAAGAAAAGGAGTACAGAGAAATGTATGATATAAAACAAAAGCTAAAGAGGAAACAAAATAAAAAATGATGAAGTATGGCTATAAGAATGCAGAATGTTTTTGTAAAAAGGGAGCAGGAGGGACCAAAGGAAAAAGATGAGGGACAGTAAAGTCTATTTTTCCTAAGAAGCAAGAGAAGTAGAAAAGAGAAGCTCTGATAGATGCAGCAAACCGACTTAGACCAAAGAATGAAGCAATGATGAAAACAAAATTAAAAATGACAAGAACATTTTATTTTCCAGTATTATTTGTGTATTTTATAATTATTATTAGACATTTCATTGTACTTCTCTATGACATGCTCTGCATCTTCACAGTTTAGGAGAAAAGGCTTAGATGATTGTTATGATTATTTATTGGTGGCCATCTTTCCCATATTCTGTACTATATTAATTGCATTTCTTTTGTTATTGCTTGTTCTTATTTCATCACTATCTTCAGTAATAATCTTCCCTATCCTATGAACTTTTCAATCCTAGCACAGTTCCCTCATTTGCCAGAATTTATGTTTCAGCGTCACATTTCTTGTGGGTCTGGCTGTCACCAAGACACCAACATAAATATCCACAAGCAATCATAAGAAAGAAAGCATAAAGCTAGCAAAAGTAGGTGTACAAAGACCAGCCCAAGAGGTGTGTATGGTCATCACAGGAATTCCACTAGGGCAGATTGATGCTTCATGTTGCAAAGTTTACGTCACAAGTGAAAACTGTTTTATTTATTTACATTGAAAGGAAAATTCAGATTAAAAGTGTACTTCAGTCTTAATTTATAAAAGTGACTTTTCTATTCCAAGGGCAACACAACTCAAGCAGTTTGGAGTTTAGAGCTAGAGCTGTTCTGTAGATACAAACAAACCTAATTAAACCAAAATGAAGATGTTTTAAGAAATTCAGTCATTTTCAAATTCTCAATGCTTAGAGCCTGTGAAAGCTTACCTCATATTTTTTTTACATGTGGAAGTTTCTGGATAGTGATATAGCATGTGAAATAATACATGAACCAGATAGGTTCTGTAAATAATGGAGTTTATATTCAGAATAATAATATTTACTTTGACATTCACCTATATAGCTGAAATTCAAATATGGCACAAATTATTTTAAAGAAATAGAATTCTCATTCTTTTATGTAAACACAGGGGAGCATATTTCAATTGATAAAAACAACTATACAAAAATTTATATGTTTATATATGTTTATATAAATGTTTTGTATTTTAAAATTTTGATAGTTTTCACATTGTTGTTTTCTTGAATAAATTTCAAAAATATTTACATGAGTAAAGTTTTCCTTTAGTGTTATTAAAAATACTTCTATTTGTATTTGTTATTGTTATTCTAGGATCTACTAATTTTGGAGGACATTCAGTAGAAAGATAAGCAAACATCTGTGATTTGTTTTGTTCAGTATGCATCTGGAGAAGCCCTACGCAGTCTTTGGATCTCAGAGTACCTGTAATTCCTATAGAATGTCAAACTGGCATAAACGGCTAACTATTCAGCTTGAATAACCTATTTAAAACATTGCTGATATTGCTGATTAACAGCTGTGGTAGTTTTAAACAGGAGTACAAAATACTGTAGCTATTTTTAGGATTTTTGGCTTAAAATGGATTGTAAAAATAAACAGCCTTTATTAACTAAGCATTAAGACAAAATATGGTTATACACTCAGTGAACACTTCTTGCTGTGAATGCATAGACCTGTAGTAGGCCTCTGTATATAAATGGTTGTGCCTGTACAGTATTAGAGATGAGCGTCAGTCCTAAAATATATTTTAATTTATGGATAGCTGATCCCAGAATTTCAATTTTGAGTTTTTATTCAGTAGATCACTTTTTGTTTGCACTGTTGAAAGATGTAAGATTGGGGATATGTTACATTCTAACAAGCACTGCTGAGCTCATAGCTGCAATATTTATATCACAGTCCAAGAAGCTTGCCATATGATATAACTAACAGTGTTTTCTTCCCAAATGCAATTAAATGGGGGAACAGCTGTGAAAAGAAAGAGCATTTTGGAGGCTACCTTTACTCCCACTCGGGAACAGCAACTAGAGGCTCTGAATGGAGGGTGCCAGAAGGATACCTTTTCCTTTTGAGAGTGGCTTTTCCTTTGAGATTCCCACCATTATTGTGTATATCTGAGCAAAATCTTGGTATGACTGAGTCAGCAAATATGCAGCTGGAGGAGTGCTGAAACTATTTCTCAATTTGTGGCACATTTTTTGCAAAAACTTGGGAGTTTTTTTTGAAATTCAAAACATTTTGAAAATTCTGAAAGAAAAAAATTTTACTTTGTTTTGTTTTGGCATTAACTTTACCTTAATTGTTCTAAAAATACTAAAACGAAAAGTTTGTTTGTGTTTGAAATCAAGTCCTCTAAGTAAATGATACATTCTGTTTTGGGTTGAAATGTTTTGTTTGATTTAAAGGAAGAAAAAAACAACAGAGAGGGGAGTATAAAGGAGTTTTTTGTTTTACTGAGACAAAAAGAATATTTCATCTAGGAAACTAAAAAGTGAATGCCTGTTTTAACTGACTCTGAATTTCATTTCGTCGCTTCATATCTTCTCTCTGGCTATCTATGGAGTTGAGTTTAAACAGGTGAGTGTGCCACTTGATTAAGTGCAAAATAGGTGGAGAAATACCTAGTTTGTGAATCTTCCTGGAACAGGAGCTTCCATAACAAATTTTAAGGTTCACATTTCCCTTTTTAAAATGTAAACCCATTTAAAACAAATGAGTAATTGTTTTTATTTTTTATCATGGCAAATTTTCTGTGTTTTCTTCTCCACTATTTTACTTCAAAGATGAGATTTTCTAAGTAAATTAATTTTCAAGCAGAATTTTAGTTTGAAAGGTTTAGTTTTAGAAAGCCACAAACATATACCAATAAAGGACCATCCATAAACATTTTTTTACAAATTCCTACTATTCTCTAGTTCAAGACGAGCTGCAATAGATGAAAAATGAGCCTAGTAAAATATAATTGCCATCTTCCACACGAATTGTGTTTCAAAGATTTTCTTGAAAAATTTATTTGGATCACAAGAAGGTATTCTTTCTAATTTCTGTTTTATCACACTGCAAAGTCATCATCCAGGACTGCAAGGTCAGGTTATAGCTTTTGTGATTGATAAAACCTAGATTTTACGCTCAGTTGAAATATCTAGGGTTTATTAGTTTTTTGGTTTTGTTTTTTTTTTTTTGCTCTGGAAGTGCTTGGCTGTATCCGAAGACAGGATTTGAAGTTGCTAAAGTTACAAAGTTGGCTCTATAAATGGGGCTTGCCTGAAGGTTCGCTGGGAAGAATCATGTTTGTTCTCTCAGAGGCACTTGTTCTACAGAACTGACAATGATAAAAAATGCACCCTGTCATTCAAAGATGTGACTACATACACACAGAGAGCAGAATGATTTCTATATTGCTGGTTATGACAGTGCGTTTTGCACAAATTCAGCAACAATCTTAATAGCTCCATCACTTTTCCCTTTCTGAGGTAAAAGCTTTGCTCAGACATGGTGCGTTTTGTGTTTGTAGATTGAGAAGAAGAGGCTTTGGAACATCTCATCAATAAAGCAAAGAAGTATAGTATAAAACCTGGTATTTACATTACTTACCTCTGCTGTGAACTACTTAATAGTATCTAATAGTATCTTCTACTTACTTAAAAGGTACTACCTAACCTATTTGTGCCTACAGTCTAGTTCTGGAGGAAAAAAACTCACTCATCTTTGGCGATTTTGCAGCTTTGAAATGTATTATGAAAAAAAAATGTATAATTTGAGTCAACTAACAAGAAATGACATAGGAGCTATGCGTCTTGAGTAGAAATGCCTTCAAGTCATCACCTCTTGCTTCCCAGTTCAGGTAAACTGAAAATTTCAATCATGCAAATCAATTAAGTGACTAGTCTGTGAAATGTTCAAAACTTGAATCTAACTGGGTCTAATTTATCATACAAAATAATTACTAGCAAAATTAAATTCTAAATAATAAATGCCACGGGCGGAATTAAATTTGCCGAGTTCAGTGCTTTTATAATTTGTGTGAAACAAAAGTGTTGAAAATATTTAATGCTGTATTTTCTTCTCTAGGAAGAGGAGAAGAAGAAAAGCCTCCATCTGACATTAAGCACAAAAGGCTCTCTATTCTTCCCTTAGGCATACATCTCCTATTAAACTGTTCTTGCTTTGTGATGAGTCACCGTCCTTTAAATCTTAAAGGAAATTTGCAGTACACGAATGATACACCAGAGGGTGCTAAGTTACCTCTAAACAAATTTATTTTTTTTTCAGTCATTCCACTCTTTCGGGTATGTAGAGTAAAAACTGAACTATTCTGGCCTTATATAGGAAAGCTACATATAATAAAAAGAAGGGCAACAAAATAAAGTTAGAGTCTGAGGATAAAACATCAGAAAAAATCTGATAGTAACAAATGAGAGGGACTGAATGGATTAAACTGAAAATCAGAACAGTAATTCAGATACAGTATTCCTTACATATACGAAAGGTAATAATAATGGAAGCAGAGATTAGTCACTCTGGAGTAAGCGATAGTGGCCGGAAGGAAGAAATTATTTAGGCTTGATATTGGGAAACATTTTAAACAATCGGAGTAATTTGGCAGTGGTCTATTCTCTCATGGGATAGGGTCAATGCAGCATCACAGTGGGTATTCAAGACGTCAGAGATTAGAGGGTGATGGTAATGCTGCAGTGTATAATTTGGAAAAAGGTGGAGAGTCAAGGCTGAATGAGCCAAGAATTCTTTTCAGTCTTTGTGTCTGCAGTTTTCTGGCTCTGAGTTGTGAAATGGCACTAATTTCTCTTTTGTACAGTTTTGTGGGAGAGAGCATAAAAGCGTATGCGTTTCACTAGAAGGGTGTTTTATGCACATATAAATAATAGCATAAGATTTTATTACAAGTCAGAATCATGCTATTCATGCAATTGGGTTGCTGCTGACGCTTAACATAGTCACTTATTTGCTTTATCTTTGCCAACTTCAGCTTCACTTCATATCACTTATCTTCTTCACAAGGTGCCACTCTTATACCATATAAGGCAACGTCATGTCTACTTATTGCTTTGTCACACAAAGAAAGTTTGTGGCAGACAAATGCTTAGTCTGTTAGATGTAGTATCTGATACTTGCCAAGTAGCATTTTCTGCAATTGTGCCAATTAAAATGCCAAATTGCTACTACTTATTAAGATGCAGCATTTTTCGCTTATCTCTGATGGTACTACTTTTCCTCCAGAATTTAACCTGCTTGTGACCTGAGGAAATGCAATTTGATAGTTCTCCTCTTCTGTGGTCTCTGTGTTAAAAATATCAATGTAAAAACTGGTTTGGTTTGCTTTGCTTTTCTACAGAGCACATGAGAAAGCACACGGTACTGCCTGTAGAGAACAGCAGTCTTCTGACCTTGCCTAGGCCATTTAGAAGCCACCAAAGCCTGAACAGAGGGCATTATGTATCCTGGGACACCTTGAAATACTTTGAAAGCAGGTACTTACCCCAGCTGTGCTGCCAAGGCCCACTTACAAAACAATCTGCAGAAGATACACAATGCTGAGGGAGTCTGCTTTAGTTCTAGCCGTCTAAAGAATCACCCCATTCAAGCAGTGTTTTGTCCTAACCAACACAGAGTCTCACAAACAAAGGCGTACAACACACTTCCTATAAGGCTAGCCTCCATAACAAGATCAAAGGCTGTCTATCTGTGTAGTAAGGCATCTGGAGAAAATAACTCAAAAGATGTATTGCTCTAAGTGAAGAGGAAAATTAGTCCCACTCGTCTCTCTGAAGGCTTTTTCTGGCCCCCTACCTTAACCTAGTGCGCATTTTAGCCATGTTTGACCTCCTTGCCCAGCTCACAGCTGAGCTAAACAGAGGCTGGCTTTGGAGATGGTCTGAGTAAGCCTGTATCTTTCTACATATGGCTGGGCAGAACACGGTGAACAAACAGCCATCTCCAGGTCTTCTGAACTCAACTGATTGCAAACAGGTGGGACGTAGCTCCAAGAGTCACAGTGGATAACAGTAAGCAAGCCTTCATGGGATGGGAGTATGGACCGGATGGGACATTTGGGATGACCCAGACTGATCTCAGTTATGTATTTGACATGCTAATCAACAGGAGCTGGCCTGGGGGAGTGACAGCTCTGTAGTGGTTAGCCCTGAGGTGTTAGGTTAGGGGCTGTTGGTAACACGCTAGCATTATAAATAGGAGATGGCGAAGGGGACAAGCAGGAGACCTTAACTGGTAGATAGAGGGAAGGAGGGAAAGTGGGAGGAAATAAAGCAGCCTGGAGCATCAGGGAATGTTTTCTATGCAAATAACCTTCTCTTGCTTTTGTTCAGCTTTT